CCGTGACATGATTCAGGAGCATCGTGGCGTCTGGTGTGGACTTTCCTGAAATTCAACGTGTATGTGGAAAGGGTGTGTGTGGTATCTGAGCCGAATGCATAAACACAACGTCCCACAGGTCTGCATTCACGTTCAGAAAACAATGTCGAGCCACTCCAATGCATTGAAGACTCCACCCCCAAAGCTCACACCTCGAAAGCTGACGCTGAGCCCAGCATGACGGGCGTGGGAGTGATCCCCTCCCCACACCAGGCGTGGGGGTGATCGACTTCGAGGGCTGGACGCCCTGGTTCGCCGCGCTGGCGAGTCCACTCAAGCAGGCGGCGCTACAGCTGGTGCGGCGGCAGCACCCGCAGTGGACGGACACCCGCGTCGCCGAACAGGTCAGACGCACGCGGACGGGGGGGGGGGGGGGCGGGTCACTGGGCAGGCCAGCCACGCTAGCACAGACGTGCGGGTGATTCAACGGGTTACGCGGATGAGCCGGCCGGTGAAGCGCCCCCCCCCCCCCCGCCCTCGGTACCAACACCCGCGAACACTCGGTCAAGCCCGGGAGCGCTTGGACCTGTGGTCTGTCTCCCAGGCTGAGAAATGATTTGAGCAGCAGCCTGGTTTTGAGGTCTTAAAAGACTTCGGGAAGTGTTCTCCGGACTCCAGGTAAGCTTCGGTCGTGACCCCTTTCTCCCGCAGCTTAGGAGGACCGTGGCGAGGACGTTGAGATGAGAGGCTCCGGAAAACTGTTGGTGATATGTTGGTGTTGGTGTTGGTCTTTCCACTTACTCGGGAGGTCTTTGCTCCCCGGCCCCTAACCTCAGACCCGGGAGAAATTTGATCCATAGTCCGTGTTATCAGACCTGCGGGGACTTTCATTCGTGATCCGTCTTTTCAGACGCGGGAGGACTTGGATCCGTGCCCCGTGTTATCAGATTCGGGATGACTTTGACCGGTGACCGGTGCCGGCAGGCTCGGGAGGACTTTGACCCGTGGCCGGTGCCAGCAGGCTCGGGAGGACTTTGACCGGTGACCGGTGCCGGCAGGCTCGGGCGGACTTTGACCCGTAACCGTGCCGGCAGGCTTGGGAGGACTTTAACCCGTGACCGGTGCCGGCAGGCTCGGGAGGACTTTGACCGGTGACCGGTTCCGGCAGGCTCGGGAGGACTTTGAGTGGTGGGCTCGCCTGTTCCTTCAGCGGACGCTGGAGGCGGCCGAGCGTGCCCGGCCGGCCGCCGCCTGGGGCTACTACCAGTATCCGCTCTGCGGGAACCTGCACATCCCCAACGGCACCTGTCCGCAGTCATGGCGCGACAAAAACCACCGGTCAGTGCTGCCATTTCGCGGCCGAGCCGAGCAGTAGTAGTGCTGCTGCTCACCGTTCGGTGAGAACTCATCCCCTTGTGGTCCGTCTGCTGATGGTTGTCGCGACTGCTGCATGCTCCTGTATCTGTGCCGGCCCGTTATACCCGCCCGGTACAATCCTGTACTCTACGTGCCGTCATCGCTGCTGGGTACCAGCTGCGTCTTGTACATTTCCGCCCACGTTTGTGTCAGTACCCATTCGTGTAAGCACGTTCTCATGGCAACCGCGTGCCCACCCCAGCCTTTGCATCGGAAGTGGATTATTGCCATTGCTCCTGCCGTCCGCTGCAGGCTGTCGTGGCTCCTGAGCTCCAGCAGCGCCCTGTACCCGTCCGTGTACCTGTTCCGGAACGGGTTTACGGACGCTGAACGGCGCGCCACGGTGAGGGGACGCCTAGACGAGGCCTTGCGGCTAGCAGCCGAGGTCCCCGTCTACACGTACACCTGGTTCCAGTACCACGACGATCCCAGTTATCTGTCTGAGGTAGGCCGACGCCGATTTTGTTTGTAGGCGGGAGGTGCACTTGGGGCTGCGTTGTTAGGCAGATGAGAAGATTTTACTCAAACGTCTCGCTGGTCAGCATGTACGCGTAAGTGAAAGATTGCTGGGATGCCGCGACAATGCTTGTGAGCACACTCTCTGTTATACCCGCTGAGCTTGGGTGAAAATGCTGCGGCGTTCAGTGGCGCAGTTTAGATGATGGCGTTGGTGGTAGCGCCAGGGAGGCTTGTACTGGACTTGTTGCACCCCCCCGCTAGCCTGAGAGTGCCCCTTCCCCACCCTCCCGCCAGCCTGAGAGCACCCCTGCTCCTCCCTCCCTGCCGGCCTGAGAGCGCCCCTGCTCCACCCTCCCCGCCACTCTGAGAGCGCCCCTGCCCCACCCTCCCCGCCAGCCTGAGATCGCCCCTGCTCACCCCCACAGCCAGCCTGAGAGCGCCCCTGACCCACCCCCACAGCCAGCCTAAGAGTGCCCCTGCCCCACCCTTACAGCCAGCCCGAGAGCGCCCCTGCCCCAGCCTCCCCGCCAGCCCGAGAGCGCCCCTGCCCATCCTCCCCGCCAGCCTGAGAGCGCCCCTGCCCCACCCTCACAGCCAGCCTGTGTGCCCCTACCCCACCCTCACCGCCTACTTGAATGCGCCCCTGGCACGGTCGCAGGAGGACCTGCTGTCCATGCTGGGCCAGGTGCGCACCCGTGGTCTGCCCGGCGCCGTCATGTGGGGCTCCTACCTCAACTGCGACTCGGCCGCCCAGTGTCACCGGCTGGACGCCTACCTGCGCGAGCGTCTGGGTCCGCTCGTGCGCCGCCTGGTGGCGCTAACACCGGCCGAGGTGCACACGTGGCGCCGCCTGCTGGCCAGCCAACGCGGCCGACGCCTGCTGCGGCAGGCCCTTAAGTGGGAGGGTCCGGAGAGCGGCGACGGGCTCGGGGTAGAGTGGTGAGCAGTGTCGGACCGTGAGGCGGAGAGAGGGCGGGAGGAGGCTATACGCTCGAGAGGGGCTGGTGAGGGTCGGAGGAGTCCTCTCTCGACAGAGCTTGGGGATAGCGATGAACAATTATCATAGATACTGCGTTGTGACGAGCAGGGCAGAAAATACGCGTGCTATATCTTACGGCGACCGAACAGACTATCGAAATTTAGGCAGATCGTGGACGATATTGGTTGACTGGGCTTCAGAAGTTCAGCACCACTAGTATTAGAAGGCGTGCATCTTCAGTCCTTCAGTTCAGTCGCCAGTTCAGGACGGCAGAGGACAGGCCGCCCTTGGGCCAGCTGCGCCAGGAACGAGCCGAGCCCCTGACGGGCAGGGGGCGCCAGCTGTCAGGGACCGAGGACTGTGGGGCGGCGGGAGACCAGGCATAACGCTGCGCCCCGACCCAGGAGCGGCCCGGGGACGAGCGAACTCCGCGACCCAAGCGGCGACAGCCACCTGGAAGCTGTCTGCTCGGGCCTTTCCTGCTCGCTTCGGTACTTGACCGCACGATATTCGACCGCTGCGCCAATCCGGCCTACTGCACCGCTTACAGTTATCCGTTTGTTTATGACTGACGTGCAGAGGCGCCCGGTCGACCTGCAACCGTGGCGCCCCGGCTACAGGATAGTTTAGAGATTGCATCAGTTATATGTGCGGACTGCTGCCGTCGATGAAACCGCTCCACGCTTGAATCGATTCAATAACCGGAACTAATACTACTCCATAATCCAGGTGTGTCGAGCTGCGTGAGGAGTTCTAACACGGAGAACGTGGCAGGTGGCACCGAGCAATAGGCCATTCACGCGCTTGAATTGGCGCTCACTAATTGCAGGAGCCGTATGGCATGGACGCTTGTCCCAAAATCAGACCCTGGGAACAACGAACTTCACGGACACTTTCATATCCGAGAATATATCGACATGCTAACGTGCGTTCCAAACATGTTTTCACAATGCTGACCGAAAGTTCTGCAGGAATGAATGTGATAGACGTCTTCGCCAAAACATCAGCTCCGACGACCCTGACGCAACCAACAAAGCGTGGAATTTCCCGTGGAATGCATAATTCGTACTGAAACATTTCAACGCGCCATACAATGCCGTGCTACGGCAAGCCCCTTCCATCCCGGCTCCTCTCTTGGCCAGGTTCCAATTGGCCGGAAGTGACGCGAGCCAATGGGCGAATTCGAGTTGCTATCTCCCACGCCTGCCACGGATCGGTCTACGTTCGACTCTAAACCAACTGATCTGTAGAGGCAGAGCAGCACGTGCCGTCTCACCAGAAAGAGTATACAGAATGATCTCTGCACTGGTTTTATTTCTAAACGCGCCACTCATAAAGCCATATGCAAGTTTGAGATCGTCAAACGGTCACATCTATGCATGATTTAAAAAACGCATGCCACACTTACGACTAGACGAGGACTAGATTTGATCGATGAAAATGATATGATTGATATGGACGGCTAAATCACACGATTCGCACGCAGAGAAGCGAGGTCCGTTTGTACACAACTTTGGACGGATGCAGCCAATACCACGACACTACCAGCCGTTCCACTGTGGGAGCGTTGAGACTAAACACGGAACGCAGAGCACAGAGCTCTGACGCAGCGATCCTGGGCGTTGAAACAGACACAACGGACTGCCCCCCCCCCCCCCCCCCCATCTCACAATATGTCTTCTCATTGTCACCGCGACTGGCAACGTCCCACGTCGATGAACCGAGCGAAGAAGGGCGACCAATGGCGGACGTTCTCGAGGCGCGCCCATTGAGAAATCAGCTTTGCCGCGACACCCGCAGGACGACCGCGGCCGGTGACACCACGATACTGGCACGTGCCTCTGACGGCGCCCAAAGATGAGCCAGCATGTCTGCGGGAAACTCTGATCGCGGCTACAGATAACCACGCAAGACTGAGCTGAAACCGATCCGAACCACGCGAGCGCCCGTCGTCCACCGCGGCCCGCCCATCACCGGCGAAGCCACAAGTGATGTCACAAGCCGGTCACTCCAAGGCACCGTCGCCGGGCGCCGCGGCCGCCGGCCACCGCGGACGCCCCTGCGCCCTGTGACGTCACCGACCGCGTCCGGGGTGTCACTGGACCAGGGCGGCGTGCCCGACGCCGGCCGCCGCCGCCGCGCCGCGCGCCTCGGTGCCGTCCGTCTCCGGCTGACGCCCGCTGACATAGCCCAGCCGCCGCAGGTCCTTGGTGAGCACCTGCAGCCGGCAGGTGACTACGCCCTGCGACCGGACCCGCATCACTGCCGCAGGGGACGCCCGGTCAGCGGGGGCGCCTGCGCGTCACGGGCGGGGGCCACGGCGGGAGGAGGAGGAGGGATCGGCGCCATGTGCTGGGACGCCGACACTGTCACTGGTGCAGGCTCCGGCAGTAAGCCGGGCTGGACGGGAACAGGCGCGTTCAGAATGCCAATTTCGCACGCTTGACGCTTGTTTGGTTCGCACTGAATCTTAGTAGGTCATAAGTCATAACCTTGCCGCGTCTCGAGATGTGGCTTTAGTTTCTCTAAAAATCTCAACACTGGCTGAGAGCTGCGTGTGGTGACCATAAAACTCATCACGTAAGACATGGAGGACTAAAACACAAACATCACATCTGCATCCTCTCAGCAAGGGAGCATCGACGAGCACGGGGTCGATGACGCTGTAATGCCTCGTAATCGCGTCACTAACAAACGTGTCAGCCGCAACACAATCCTCAGTCCTGCAAGTCTCACTTTTCTTATCCATGGGTGATTTCAAGAGCCAAACAAACAAGAAGTGGAACAATCTAAGAATGACATCAAGAATGACATCGGCCAAATACCCCTGCTTTGGGTCACGTTCGCAAGGCCAATGACGAAGCTGAAAGGAAGCTAATGGGGCCATGCCCCCTTCCCCCCCCCCCTCCCGGAGATGGCGTGTCCACATGGCACCGAAGGCCACTGGACTTTTGTGGTTGAAGGTGCCCGTATGGCTTCTTAAAAAAAGACCCGGCTCCCAATGTCTCAAAATGTGAGTTCCAGCCTTTAATGTCCTCAAAATTCAAAAGCAGGGCTCTTTTGCCGGGAAAACGGGCCCCTGAGCTGAACGGGCCCCTACGCCCGGTCCGCGCACGCACACATGTGCGCGTCACCTCACCCTCCCTGCCCTCGCCGAGCGCCAGCGTGACCGGGTCATCTCACCCTCCCTGCCCTCGCCGAGCGCCAGCGTGGCCGGATCATCTCACCCTCCCTGCCCTCGCCGAGCGCCAGCGTGACCGGGTCACCTCACCCTCCCTGCCCTCGCCGAGCGCCAGCGTGACCGGGTCACCTCACCCTCCCTGCCCTCGCCGAGCGCCAGCGTGACCGGGTCACCTCACCCTCCCTGCCCTCGCCGAGCGCCAGTGTGACCGGATCATCTCACCCTCCCTGCCCTCGCCGAGCGCCAGCATAACCGGGTCACCTCACCCTCCCTGCCCTCGCCGAGCGCCAGCGTGATCGGGTCACCTCACCCTCCCTGCCCTCGCCGAGCGCCAGCGTGACCGGGTCACCTCACCCTCCCTGCCCTCGCCGAGCGCCAGCGTGATCGGGTCATCTCACCCTCCCTGCCCTCGCCGAGCGCCAGTGTGACCGGGTCATCTCACCCTCCCTGTCCTCGCCGAGAGCCAGTGTGGCCGGGTCACCTCACCCTCACTGCCTTCGCCGAGTGCCAGTGTGACCGGGTCATCTCATCCTCACTGCCTTCGCCGAGCACCAGCATAACCGGGTCACCTCACCCTCCCTGCCCTCGCCGAGCGCCAGCGTGATCGGGTCACCTCACCCTCCCTGTCCTCGCCGAGCGCCACCGTGACCGGGTCATCTCACCCTCCCTGCCCTCGCCGAGCGCCAGCGTGACCGGGTCGGCCAGCTCCGGTCGGCGGCCAGTGAACCAGGAAGCCAGCTTCTGCAGCTGTGAGGTCGACTCCGGTACGAACACGGCCATCCTGGGTAAACACGCAGTCAGTGGATCACTAGACACGGCCCCCCGAGAACACCATGAACATAAAACACGGCCATCCTGGGTAAACACGCAGTCAGTGGATCACTGGACACGGCCCCCCCGAGAACACCCTGAAAATAAAACACGGCCATCCTGGGTAAACACGCAGTCAGTGGATCACTGGACACGGCCCCCCCGAGAACACCATGAACATAAAACACGGCCATCCTGGGTAAACACGCAGTCAGTGGGCCACTGAACACGGCCCCCCGAGAACACCATGAACATAAAACACGGCCATCCTGGGTAAACACGCAGTCAGTGGGCCACTGAACACGGCCCCCCGAGAACACCATGAACATAAAACACGGCCATCCTGGGTAAACACGCAGTCAGTGGATCACTGGACACGCCCCCCCCCCCCCCCCCCCCCCCCCCGAGAACACCCTGAACGTAAAACACGGCCATCCTGGGTAAACACGCAGTCAGTGGATCACTGGACAAGGCCCCCCGAGAACACCCTGAACATAAAACACGGCCATCCTGGGTAAACACGCAGTCAGTGGATCACTGGACACGGCCCCCCCGAGAACACCCTGAAAATAAAACACGGCCATCCTGGGTAAACACGCGGTCAGTGGGTCACTGGACATGGCCCCCCGAGAACACCCCGAACATAAAACACGGCCATCCTGGGTAAACACGCAGTCAGTGGATCACTGGACAAGGCCCCCCGAGAACACCCTGAACATAAAACACGGCCATCCTGGGTAAACACGCAGTCAGTGGGCCACTGAACACGGCCCCCCGAGAACACCCCGAACATAAAACACGGCCATCCTGGGTAAACACGCAGTCAGTGGATCACTGGACACGGCCCCCCGAGAACACCCTGAAAATAAAACACGGCCATCCTGGGTAAACACACAGTCAGTGGATCACTGGACACGGCCCCCCGAGAACACCATGAACATAAAACACGACCATCTTGGGTAAACACGCAGTCAATGGGTAACTGGACATGGCCCCCGAGGACACCATGAACAAAGAATGCCGCTCTTCCGCGTGTGTACAACGACTGGGTAACGCAGCACGACCACCCAAAGGCGCACAAGAACACCATTTGACTCTACCTGCTCCCATGGGCACACATAGTAATCGCGTAGCCTAGTTGTAGGGTGACAACCCAGTGCACACGAGCGCTGTGTAACCTAACACCTGCCGCAGCGATGGCCGGGGCTGTGGCCGCCGCTGGCTGCACGGCTGCCCGAGAAACACACCAGCACCGTTCACACGGCCACCTTCGGCGCACACAGACGCCACATGGCTCCCGGCCGGAACGTCATGCGCGGAGCAGGCCGAATCTACGAGGTTACGGTCGACGCCCAGTGTCGGCGCTTAACAGGCTTAGCAGGCAAAGCGTCATGGAATACCAATCATCAACGACTGACAGCCAACCAGGTAGTTGCCAACGAAAGAGAGACAAGTCGCGACTACTCAGAAATTCCCCGCTATGTTAAATTTATGTAAACAACACAACTAATGAAATCACCACCTCGAAATGCAAGACTGCCCACTCCAAGTGCAAATTCCAAATCGCACATAAACGACACCTCAGAATGGTTGGGCGCGCGCGCATCGCGTGAGCAGGTGGGGACCCTCGACGAGCGGTGAGTAGGACGGCGCGGGCGCCGCCGGCGGCGGCCCTCACCTGACCCGGTGGCTGCCCGAGCAGACCGGCACGTGACACACGCCGTAGCCACGAATGACGTCATTGCCGAACAGGTCCGGCCCGTAACAGCTGACGATCAGCTGCGGCCCTGCAAGACGAATTTGCAACGTGCGTTTGCTACGGCTTATCATACGTTGCTGTTTCTTTCACGAAATGTATTGCTGTAAAATATTTACCACGCACACCTCATTTTGCAAACATTACACGGACGTGGTGTGTTACATTAACTTTACAACTAGGCAGAAGGGCATGGGACGAGCGTTTGCGTCGTTAACTCGGTGACGGCACCGCACACACTCGCCAGTTGTTTTTGAACATGCAGGTATCATACCAACAAAACATTTTCGCGAGACCACATGAGTTGTTTAGTGCATTCGCGACGAAACATTACGCATGATACTAAGGCAGTACTAATAGTCTTATTCTTTGTAGGAAAGCCATGGAGATGGAGAAAAAGATGGATTGATCTTTCGGCCACATGCCCTTATCAAAACGAATAAGGCACGTAGCCAAAATAGCAATACGTCAATCTCTCCATTTCCCTCGCATTCGTACGACGAAAGGGCCGATAAAACTGTCTTATCTGTTTTTGCCAGACCCGGAGCGGCCAAATGCGGCACACGCCACATCCCGATAATTCGACTTCGGGCGCCCCGTGGACCACTGCCTGTACGATCCCCCCCCCCCCCCCTCCCCACATACAAACTTTTGTCACGGCATGACCAGTCCCCAAAACATGAGAAGCCCTTGCCGTCCCGACGCGCACGCATCCCTGGTGCTGGCGCGGCCCGTTCCGGCAAGCGTGCGCGAAGACGGGCGGGCGGGCAGCGGCGGGGCGGCGGGGCGGCGGGGCGGCGGTGCGGGCAGGCGGCGGGGCGGGCGGGCGGGTCGGGCGGGCGTGAGTGCGCGAGGACAGCGAGCGGACGGGCGAGCGAGCGGGCGGGCGAGCGAGCGGGCGGACGAGCCAGCAGGCGGGTGGCGGGCTGCCGGCGCCCAACTCACAGCCGTGCGGGTTGGTGGACTTGAACGACACTTCGACGGGCAGGTTCCAGACCAGTAGCTGGCGCTCGTCCTGGCTGCGCTTGCTGATCTGCGATATACCTTCGTCCAGACCCTGGCGGCGGGGCGACTGTCGTCAGCGGAGCCGACTCGTGCGCGGTGACGACGGGACACAGCGCTGATCCCGAACTCTGTTCGGCTCACTTCAGAGTGCATGTCGGCACGTCAAACTTTCGTCACACAGATTGTGCCATTCAACTGGAATTTCACGATCCGTAGTGGGATTAGGGATCATACGAGTCATGATAGGCGTGGGCTGTAATCTCAGAAATCTCCTCAAACAAACATTGGGAGTTCATTGACATGAAGCTCATGCAGTGGTCAACATTACAGCACAATCTCAAGGTACATAAAAAGTGATTTATAACCTGGTAAAATCTGTACAAATGCTTTGTTACACTTAAAATGTGCATCAGCATAAATCCAAGGCAAAACATCCAAACCAGAGTTCAGCACTGGCTGAGGCATAAAACACAACCAGTATCTGCACGTACCGCCACCATCTCCCAGTCGGGGCCATGGTGGAAGGAGTAGCGGCAGTAGACGTCATCAAAGTCAGCCAGGCTTGCTGACTCAATCTGGCCTGTCACAGACACCATGAAGCCTGGCTCACTGGCTGCCATTGCCTTTGGACCTGTAGACAATTTGGAACATGCTGACCAGCACCACCACTAGGCTGGCAGGTGGTAGCATCACCATCAAAACTGACACTTCAAAGCAATGTGAAGTAATAAAAATGATGTAAAAATGGCCAGTTACTATATGATATACCTAGAGATAAAGCAAAATCACAATGATTTTGGTTTACAGCATGCCAGTACTCTTGCTTCTTAACGACCATGCCCACTAGCTCTAAAAATCCTTCAACAACAAATCCATATTTGCTCTCTCAGCCCACATTCAAACTTCATGTTTAGAACGTGTATAAGCCACTAGTCCCATGCCAGAATGTCCTATATGTACCACAGTACCACACATCCTATATACATATACATACACAGTTTGTGTGACATTAACAGGTACAGGACAAACAACTAATATATGCCCTGAACATCAAGTTTGAAGGTGGGCTATGAGAAAATATGAATATAAGACATCTACATGGCATTAACAGGTACAGGACTAATGACTAATATATGTCCTAAACATTAAGCTTGAGGGTGGGCTGAGAGCAGAATGCAATATATATATATATATATATATATATATATATATATATATATATATATATTGGCCTGCCTTATCTTCAAAGCTGTAACTAAATAGCTATAATGAAATGTATATCACACAAGTATCATTACAGTTGTCCTTTACTACTGACCACAATAGAATTGATTTAACTCCTGTGATATGGTTATAAATGATGTGAAAATGCTTTTAAAATGTTTTAGAACCATGAATTAGCAATATTTACCTCCACTGATAACAGCCATTTGCACACATTGGGCCTCACCCTTCAGCTGCACTAAGATCCTTAAGGATGCTGACATGAATAAAAATGTGTGATGCAATCTATGGATGGTCATTTGTGATCACATTGTTGCAAGGGGGAGGTGTCAACCAGCACAACCAGTGGATATACAGAATGGAACATATAGACGTATGGGAATAGAGACATTTCGGCTTTTTTTTACTTGGGTACCTGTATTGCCGACGGTGGGGAGAGCTACGCTGGCTGCAGGGTTCCTGTACTGCCGTGATGGAGAAATGCTGTCAGGTATCAGCCGACGTAGTGACGTCACTGAAAATGGGTTTCCATCGATCGGGGTTCTTTTGGGCCAACTGAATGCTACAAGGCATTTGCTAGCGATATGATGTCACTGGTATTCGACTGGATGTGTGACGTCACTGGTTGTGAGGCTTTAGGGATCTTTTGGGTGTAATGAATGCCGTAAAGCATCACCTGACGATATGTCGTCGCTGGCATTCAATGAAACATCAGGCGCAACAGGCCTTATTCCATCTTTACCTTTCGTACCTGTCTGCTGCAAGCATTTGCGTGTCGAATAAAAGCTTGACCGAATCACCTGAATGCGTGACGTCACTAATCATCACTTGATACGAGTGCACTTAGGCCCCACGGCCGCGGTGTATCATGTTCCGTGAAATATCACCAGTTATCGTGACGTCACTGATATTCGACTAAATGTTGGTCGCAACAGGTCATGCTTCATTTTTACCTTCGTACCTGTCTACCGCAAGCACTGGCGTGATGAATAAAAGCTACCAAATCACGTGAGTGTGTGACGTCACTGGTCATGCATTTTTATGGATCTTTGGGGGCCAACTGAGAGCCGTAAAGCATGACCTAATGATGTGACGTCACTGGCATTCGACTGTGTGTGATGTCACTTGTGATCAGATTTTACGGCCTCTTTTGGGCCGACGAAAGGTCATACGACATTAACTGAAGATGTGACGTCACTGGTATCCGAATAAAATTCAGGCGGGACAGGCCATGCTTCATCTTTACCTTTGGTACCTGTCCATTGCAAGCATTTGAATGCTGAAGGAAGGCTCTGCCGAACTACCTGAGTGTGTAACGTCACTAACCATTAATTTATATAGACTGCTTTGAACCTACCGTAAGCCACACCACATCAGCTGACCATATGACGTCACCGGTTTTCGTCTAGATGTCATGCGCAACAGGCCATGCTCTATCTTTGCCTTTCGTACCTGTTCACTGCAAGCATTCGCGCGCTATATCGAGGTGGTGCCGAACCATCTGAGTGCGTGACGTCGCTGGTCATGAGTTCATACAGGCTCACTTGGGCACCCCAATGCAACAAAGCATCATATCCTGTGAAGCATCGCGGGATGATATGACGTCACTGGTATTCGACTCAACATCAAGCGCAACAGGCCATGTTCCATCTTTACCTTTCGTACCTGCCTACTGCAAGCATTCGCGTGTTATATGACGTCAATGGTCGAGAGCTCTTACGGGCTCTTTTCAACCCCCTATATGGTATAATGCTTCAGCTGACGGATATGATGTCACTGGTGTTCGACTTAACATCAGGCACAACATGTCATGTTCCATCTTTGCCTTTCGCACCTGTTAAAGTATCGGCGAGCCTAATGATGGCTCTGTCGAATCACCTGAGTGCGTCGTCATGAGTTTTTACAGGCTATTGTTGGCCGAGTGAAAGCCATAAGGCATCATCTAATGATGTGTCGTCACTGGTAATCCACTAAGTGTGTGACGCCATTGGTCATGAGTTTTCCCGGGCCTTTTTCGGCCGACTTAAGGCCATTAGGCATCAGGCAACGATATGGCGTCATTGGTATTCAATTAAGCATCAGGTACAATATGTCAAGTTTCATCTTTACCTTCAGCACCTATCTACTGCAAGTATTCGCGCGCCACATAAAGGCTCTGCCCAATCACCTGAGCGTGTGGCGTGACTGGTTATGAGTTTACGCGGGTTTACTCGGGCTGACTGATGGACATCAAGCATCATCTGGCGATGTGACGTCACTGGTATTCAACTTAAGACCAGGCGCGACAGACCATGTTCGTCTTTATCTTTCGTACCTGTCTATTGTAAGCATTGACATGCGTAAGGAAAGCTCTGTGAAATCTCCTGAGTGTGTAATGTCACTGGTCATGAGTCCTTTATGGGCCGCTTTTTTGTACCTATAGGGTACAAGACATCAGTTGACGATATGACGTCACTGGTGTTTGACTTAATCTCAGGCGCAACAGGCCATGTTCCATCTTTGCCTTTCGCACCTCTATACTGCAAGTATTCGCGCGCTACATAAAGGCTCTGCCGAATCACCTGAGCATGTGGTGTAACTGGTCATGAGTTTACGCGGGCTTACTCGGACTGACGGAAGGACATCAAGCATCATCTGACCATATGACGTCACTGATATTCGGTCTGTGGCCCAGACTTATGACCGCTAGGCGGCGCCCTTTATTATTTAGCCATCAGGGCATTCCGGACCGTAGCTGCTCAGGGGCGCATCCTGTGATGTCGGGCGGAATAGCTTTGCATATACGTCGGTTTGTGGGCTGGGATCACCTTTGTTTTGTGTTTACGTTTGTTCAAAATTTTAGTCGTTGAAACAGCCCGTTGCGTTTGAAGCTGCTACTTAATGGTGCGCACAATAAAATTAGTGTGCTTAACTATGGTGCATCTCCCGCCTCTGCTGCGGAATTTCGTAGCCATAGGTGGCCAAGTGACCTCCTACCAACTGATGATCAGTGACGTCACGTACTCGGTGATTCGGCGGAGCCTTCATATAGCACGCGAATATTTGCAGCAGCCAGGTACGAAAGGCAAATATGGAACATGACCTGTTGCGCCTGATGTTTAGTCGAGCACCAGTAACGTCATGCCGTCAGCCGATGCATTACAACCTATAATGGGTTCAAAAGAGCCCATAAAAACTCGTGACCAGTGACGTCACAAACTCAGGAGATTCGACGGAGCCTTTATTCAGCACGTCAATACCTTTAATAGACAGGTACGAAAGGTAAAGAAAGTACGTGGCATGTTGGACCTGATGTTAAGTCGAATAACAGTGACGACATATCATCCTGTGATGCTTCACGGGAGGTGTTGCTTTGTGGCCTTGGGCGGCCCAAGTGAATCCGTATAAACTCATGACCAGCGACGTCACCCACTCAGATGATTCGTCTGGAGTTTAGTCGATTACCAGTGACGTCATATCGTCAGCTGATGCTTGATGTCCTTCAGTCAGCCCGAGTAAACCTGCACAAACTCATGACCAGTTACACCACACGCTCAGGCGAATCGACAGAGCCTTTTTGTAGCGCACGAATACCTGCAGTAGGCAGATGCGAAAGGTAAAGATGAAACATGGCTTATTGCAATTGATGTTAATTCGAATACAAGTGACGCCATAACGTTATCTGATGCCTAATGGCCTGAACTCGGCCAAAAAAGGCCCGTAAAAGCTCATGACCAGTGACGTCACACACTCAGTGGACTACCAGTGAAGTCATTTCGTTAGCTGATGCCTTATGGCTTTCGCTCAGCCAAAAATAGTCGTAAAAATTCATGACCAGTGACGTCGCACACTCAAGTGACTCGGCAGAGCCATCATTTAACGCACCAATACTTTACAGGTACGAAAGGCAAAGATGGAACATGACCTGTTACGCCTCATGTTAAGTCAAA